GAGGAAGAAGGGGAAGAATGGCGGGAGAAAGGAGGGGGAGGTGGAGGAAGGTTTTGCTGCAGAGGAGGCGGCGGGCCCGTCGGGGGGCACCAGCGCGGCGGGTCGGTACCGCGGAAAGCTGGGGGTGCAGCCGCGGACGCCATGGGCCAGGAGGCCGTTGGCGACAGGCGCCTGTAGGACAGGTGGCCTGAGGGGCGCGCGAGCGCCCCGCCTGCAGGCAAGCGGCGTGCAGGAAGGAGTGGCGCGAGCCAACCCGAACAGGGAGGCAACCCCGTGCCGTCACCGACTGGCTGCTCGGCGCAGTCGGGCTCGCCCCACACGAGAACGGATTGACGGGAAAGTGGGCCCCGTGCAATACCGCGCTCGAGGGGGGAGAGTGGACCACCGCCTTGGGCGGCGGCCCACGCGTGGTCCGAGAAGAAAGCCGCCGCCGCGTAGAAGTCGATGGACACCTGAGCAGCGGGGGCCGGCGCAGGCTCCCGGCGCCCCTGGTCGCGCGGGCGCGGGAGGGGCGGCGGGGGCCGAAGCGGGGCAAGCTCGGGCCGAGAAGCTGCAGACGACTGCAATCAGCGGGCGCGATGGGGATAAGAAGAAGCATTCTGGAGAAAGGGATTTCGCGAACGGCTCGCATCGCAAAGCATTCATGCGGGAGCTGCTGAAGAAGAGGCCTGAAGAAGTGTGGATTGCACCGCCGTGCACGGTATGGTCTACGATAAGCACGCTGGCGAAAGCAAACAAGAGCAACGAGTACCAACAGCAACGAAGGAGAGAGCGTGCCAAGCAGCAGCGCCAGTCGGGAGATCTACGAGGCGCAGCAGCAGGCGGAGAGGCACGCGCATCTGGAGCACCCTCGATACGCGATGTCTTGGGAAACCGAAGAGTAGGACGGCATGACGGGCTACGATGCGTTCGTGGACCAGTGCGCCTACGGACTCATGGCGCTGGACTCGGCAGGGCGAAGACTCGGTCCAATCAAGAACCCGACCAACGTAAGGACCACGAAGCTCAGGATGTACGAGGGACTCTGGAAGACATGCAGCTGCAAGGAGAAGCAAGTGAGTCTCGAGGGTGGACACAACAAGCATGGCGTGGAGAACTACCCGAGGAAGATGGCATTCCAGGCGGCGATCTGAATCGTGGATGACCCGCAGAACGAGGCCAGCTACGCGGTGGAAGAGATTACCCAGGAGGACCTCGACAAGACCGAGTACAAGATCATGTGGAAAGCGCTGCTGGAGAAGTTCACCATCGAAGAGGTCAAGTGGGTAGAGAAGGCCCACATCCAGATGGGCCATCCCTCGAGCGAGGCGTTGGCAGCAGCATTGAAGGAGATGAACGCGGACGACCGATTGATCAACTGTGCGAGGATATACATATGTGAGACATGACTCAAGCGGCAGAGGCCAAAGTCAGTGCGAGTCGCCCGCATCCCGCGGGATCGAGGATTCAACTACACCGTGGATATCGACACGTTCCATGTGGTGTGGAAGGATAAGCACAAGATGATACTCACCATCATGGACGAAAGCTCAAGGTTCGAGGTCGACACGGTGGTGAAGGACGAGAAGGCCACCACCGAGATCAAGGCGCTCGAGAAACACGGGATCAACTTGGCCGGGGCGCCGGCCAAGACACGAGCGGACCAGAGTGGCGCACACGTGAGTGACGAGTTCACGGAGTGGTGCGACGGTCGGCAGATCAAGCTGCAGCTGATTCCGAGAGATGCTCACCATCGGCTTGGCATAGTCGAGCGGAATCATCGGGTACAACGAGAGCAGATAGCAAGATATCATGAAGATCATCCTGAGGACAGCCTGAAGCTTGCGGTACGCATGACGTGCGACGCGCGCAACCAGCTGCGCAACGTGGAGAGTTTCACGCCATCGCAGCGGGCGTTGGGAAGGCAGCCCAAGAACCTGGGCAGCCTGTCGGACGAGCCCGCGACTACGGGCGACCTCGGCGACCACGACGAGGGATTCTACCGCAACCTGGCGCGCAGGCGTGACGCAGGCAAGGCCATCCTGGCGGCAAACGTGGCGAGAGCAGTTCGAGGGGCGCTGGCGGCCACGAACAGGGCGAGTGGGTCTAGTGGGTCTAGTGGGCGAGTGGGTCTACTTCTGGAGGCGCGACAAAGGCGAGAGCGACGTCATAAGTGCTACTGGAAGGGACCTGCGGTGGTCACGCAGGTCGAGTACACGGATGGCCCCGACAAACTCAGACAGCTGTGAAGGCCAAGAAGATGGAGGAGGAGAAGCGGAAGCGAGCGGAAAACAGGCAACTCAAGGTGGCCACGGCCCTCCTGGAGAAGAAACCGGCCGACCACCTGAGCACTGCCATCGACTTGAAGCTGAGAGAGGCCTTGAGAAAGCGAACGGACGGATCTTCGAGCGCTTCAGGCGCCAATGCCCACCTGGAGGCGTCCATCCGGCAGCTCCAGAAAGGTGACAACATTCAGCCCAGCGACCTGGCAGACGTCATTGCAAAAAACTCCTTGGCCCCCGCCTCGAGCGGGGGCGTGGGGGCTGGCAAAAGCAAAGCCAAAGGCAAAAACAAGACAGTCGGAAAGGGCAAGGCCGGCGGCAAAGGCAAAGACAAGCCGCCCTCGACTCCCTCGCAGCCGCCTGGCAAGGGCTCGAGCAAAGGCAAAGACAAGTGGAAAGCCTCGAGCAAAGGCAAAGCCAAAGGCAAATCCAAAGGCAAGACAGGCAGAGGGCGTGGCAGCTCGAGAGGCGGCGGCAAAGGTCGGGGGAACGGCCGCTTGCAGACCTGGTGGCAATGAAGTTCCTCACCCTGTGCAGCGCGATGTCGCCCGCTGACCTCGCCGTCCTGTTCGACACAGGGCGCGGCAAGCCTGGGTGGTACATGGCGGACTTGACCCAGAGGGTCGCCTGCACGCCCCCCGCTGGAGCCATTGCCTGGCCCTTGGAGTTCCTGTTGAGGCGGTATCATCGAAAACATGTGTTTTCTAGCAGCCGACCTCCGTCCCTAAGGGACATCGGCTCGAGTTTGTACATCTGGGAGCACCGTCTCCGCTGGCGTATCGTAATGTCTGATTCTGAATCCAACCAGTGGCATTTCCTGCGCTCCAGGCGCCAAGTGCCGCACCCGTGTCCGATGACTTTCAATCTTGCCGTCGAGAATTTCATCTCTGACACTAAACACGAAGTGTTTGAGGAGTGCAGGCGTGCGAGGCATCGGGTTTCATCCCTCGGCCGCCCCACCAATTTGAACGGGGTTGCTGAGCTGGCGCTGGATTTGCTCCGTAATTCACCAGTCGGCGCCTGCATCACTGACAAGGACGGTGGTTTTGCCGTGCTACCGAAGGCCGCCATCCACGAAGAGAAACTCAGAGTTCTGGCTTCTGATTTCTACTCCCGCGTAGCATGGCACGAGGAATTTGCGGTGGAGGCGATGACTGAATATTGTGAGGCCGCCCAGAGCTTCGACGACGAAGACCTGGTGAAGGCCCTCCTGCATGATTATCGTTCTCTGGCCACGCGGCTGTTTTCTGTGCTTGCCCTGACAGTGAAAACTCACAAGCCTGCTGGGCAAGTCACCTGCAGGGCGCTTCATTGTAGTTCGCGGCATCCCATGCTTCCGGGCATGCGCTGGGTAGCGTGGAGGTGCAGACAGGTTCTCCAACGGTTGCCGCACTTGCTAACTAATACAGAGCAGCTGCAACGTCAGCTGTCGGCCCTTACGTTGTCTCGGGGTTGCGTGTTCTGCAAACTTGACATCAAAGACTTTTACATGTCAGGCGAGCATGGCCTTCTCATTAACGAGTGCGCGAGGCACATCGCTGAGGGCCGAGAGCATTTCCGAACCATGTTGTCCAGCATTGTCCGTAACCAATATGTATGTCTGTCTGACGACTTTGACGCACACCCGTTCGTGTACAGGGTCCTTCGGGGCACCGGTATGGGCTTGTGCTGCAGTGGCGAAGTTTCGGATCTCGTGTTCTACAGTACGGTCGAGGAGCCGTTTGTGCTCCGTTCAGACATCAGGCGCGAGTACGGCATTGTTTTCTATGGCCGATTTCGCGACGACATTCTGTGCATCAGCTCCAGACCAGACCTGCTTCACGAGATGTTGCAACGCATGCAGGCCCTGAGCCGTTGCTTTGATTAGACGATCGATTGCATCGACCCTGTTCGCACGATCATGTTGGATCTTAGTCTTAGTTTTTGTGACAGAGGTGACAATGTTGCCGTGGAGCACGCGGTGCATGTGAAACCCACTTCCGTTTGGGTGCCGTTGTGTGACTCCTCGGCCCACCCGCCGCACGTACACGCATCCTGGCCGAAGGGTTTTGAATCCAGGTTGCGGCGAAGATGCACGTACCGCCGCACTGCCGACTCACATGTGGCTGCGTTCAGGGACCGTCTTCAGAAGGCGTGCCCAGGCCACGTACATTTGCAAGATCATCCGAAGCCGTCGTCTATGACTCTCGCCCGCCCTCGCTCGCGGGTTCCACCTAGCAGGCTAATCGTTCCGTACAGGTTTGACTGGTCTCTTGCACGCATTCCCAGGGCGGTCAAACGTGCTTTCGTTCGGTGGAGACCGGATGACCACCTCAAGCTTCCATTCACGATGTGCCCACAAATCTCGTGGAGGCTGGGGGGTCGCCATTTGGCCCGCACCCTCACGAAGTATCAGCAAGATGATGCTGATGACATTTGCTTGTTTAAAATATTTCGGAGGTGCTAGGGGTAGGTAGGAGGGTTCAGTCTTGTCTGGGTCTTCGGCACCAGGCCGTTGAGTTCCAGCTCGAAGCCGAGCAGCCGTTGCGACAAATTCGGCATATTTTACTTTCAATCCGTTCCATTGCAACTTCGGCTCTATCATCTTGCAGCGCGGAGAGCGCTTAGCACCGAGGCCACATCCCACCTTAGCAGAGTGGTGGGCCGCGCATAACAGCAAAAATCGTCCACGTCTTGAGTCAGTTACTGCACCTCATTCCTCGATACGCGATGTCTTGGGAAACCGAAGAGTAGGACGGCATGACGGGCTACGATGCGTTCGTGGACCAGTGCGCCTACGGACTCATGGCGCTGGACTCGGCAGGGCGAAGACTCGGTCCAATCAAGAACCCGACCAACGTAAGGACCACGAAGCTCAGGATGTACGAGGGACTCTGGAAGACATGCAGCTGCAAGGAGAAGCAAGTGAGTCTCGAGGGTGGACACAACAAGCATGGCGTGGAGAACTACCCGAGGAAGATGGCATTCCAGGCGGCGATCTGAATCGTGGATGACCCGCAGAACGAGGCCAGCTACGCGGTGGAAGAGATTACCCAGGAGGACCTCGACAAGACCGAGTACAAGATCATGTGGAAAGCGCTGCTGGAGAAGTTCACCATCGAAGAGGTCAAGTGGGTAGAGAAGGCCCACATCCAGATGGGCCATCCCTCGAGCGAGGCGTTGGCAGCAGCATTGAAGGAGATGAACGCGGACGACCGATTGATCAACTGTGCGAGGATATACATATGTGAGACATGACTCAAGCGGCAGAGGCCAAAGTCAGTGCGAGTCGCCCGCATCCCGCGGGATCGAGGATTCAACTACACCGTGGATATCGACACGTTCCATGTGGTGTGGAAGGATAAGCACAAGATGATACTCACCATCATGGACGAAAGCTCAAGGTTCGAGGTCGACACGGTGGTGAAGGACGAGAAGGCCACCACCGAGATCAAGGCGCTCGAGAAACACGGGATCAACTTGGCCGGGGCGCCGGCCAAGACACGAGCGGACCAGAGTGGCGCACACGTGAGTGACGAGTTCACGGAGTGGTGCGACGGTCGGCAGATCAAGCTGCAGCTGATTCCGAGAGATGCTCACCATCGGCTTGGCATAGTCGAGCGGAATCATCGGGTACAACGAGAGCAGATAGCAAGATATCATGAAGATCATCCTGAGGACAGCCTGAAGCTTGCGGTACGCATGACGTGCGACGCGCGCAACCAGCTGCGCAACGTGGAGAGTTTCACGCCATCGCAGCGGGCGTTGGGAAGGCAGCCCAAGAACCTGGGCAGCCTGTCGGACGAGCCCGCGACTACGGGCGACCTCGGCGACCACGACGAGGGGTTCTACCGCAACCTGGCGCGCAGGCGTGACGCAGGCAAGGCCATCCTGGCGGCAAACGTGGCGAGAGCAGTTCGAGGGGCGCTGGCGGCCACGAACAGGGCGAGTGGGTCTAGTGGGTCTAGTGGGCGAGTGGGTCTACTTCTGGAGGCGCGACAAAGGCGAGAGCGACGTCATAAGTGCTACTGGAAGGGACCTGCGGTGGTCACGCAGGTCGAGTACACGGATGGCCCCGACAAACTCAGACAGTCAGTGCTGTGGTGCGTGCATGGCCAAGACGAAGACCGTGGACTACCGTTGTCAACGGCCGAGCAAGTGCTAGAGAAGCTGAGGAATGTCAGCGGGTCCACGAATTACGCGGACCACACGGGCGGAGCTATCGGTCAGCCGGAGGACTACGAGGACGAGCACTTCCCCATGGAGATGGACCGGCAGGGCGTCGACACGGACGGCCAGGTGGAGGAGACCGAGGCCGAGCGGCAGGACGAGCACACGAGGGCGAGCAGAACGACGATGGCGGCCAAGGTATGCCCGAGGCGGCCGAGATGCAGGTGCCCGCGGCGTCCGAGCCCCCACGCCCGGACACATCGGGCGACGCGTCACAGGACGCGGGAAGTCCTGAGAAGGAGCGCGAGACGACACCAGCTGGACCAGGTCAAGAGCACGTCGAAACGGAGCAGACGACGAGCCGGACCGCGGCAGAGAAGAGCAAGGCTGAGGAGCACACGGCCGAGAACGGTGACGAGTTGCTGGACGCCATCAACGCGGCCAGACGACTGGTCGGACTGCGGCCACTACCGAAGCAACCAAAGCAGACCGACGTGGCGAAAGCGACAAGCGCTGCAAGCGGCAGTGAAGGCGACGAGCTGCTGCTACTGTACGAGGACGTGGACACGGCCTAACTGACCAACACGGCGAGAAAGGATTCGGTGGTGGAGGCCAAGCTCAGTGCAGACGAGAGTAGGCAGTTCGATGAGGCAAAGACCAAGGCGCTGCAGCCATGGATCGAGAACCAAGCGTGGCAGGCAGTGAAGGAGCATGTGGCGGACGCTGGAGAGGTGTTCTGGTCCTATGCGGTTCCTGTCAAAGTGGAAGATGAAGGATGGAGTGAAAGAAGCGAGCACGAGAATGATCCTACAGGGCTTTCACCTGGAGGAGGTGACCAGCACCAACGTGGAGAAGGCGAGCCCTACCCTCACGCGATTGGCGAGGTTCCTCATCCTGCTCATCCTGTGCCAGCAAGCTTGGAAGATGGTGGCAGCGGATGTGAAGAGCGCATTCCTACAGGCGAAGGACATCAGAGAACACGGAGTTCGGATTGTTAGCAGGCCGACGAAGGACATACGACGCCGACTGGCAAAGATGATGGTCCTGCAGGACGGCGAGATATTACAGATGCTGAAGCCCGCGTGCAGCGATGTGAGAGCCCCTACGCAGTGGAATCAGACGATCACGGAGGCCACGTTCGAGATAGGCTTCCTGCAGCACGCGCTGGACAACTGCTTTCCAGTCGTACCGCCTGGCGCTCGACGGGGACGATCCGCTCCTTGTCTGGCATGCGGACAACAACCAGTACCAAAAAGCAGGCGTACGAGGGCACCTTCCTGGGTCGTGTGCAGAGGCTCAACCAGAGGTTCAAGTTCGGCAAGTGGGAGTTCCGATCAGCATCGTCTTCTGCGACATGGAGAACACGCAGTCGTTCTCACGCGACGAGATCGAGGTGAAGGCCGAGGCCTACATCCACGAGGTCAAGCCGATCAGTATCGAGAAGACGAGGAGGATGCACCCAGACGACCCATGCACACCGAATGAGATCAGCCAGCTCAGCGGGCTGAATGGGGCCATGCAGCGGCCGGCGTCTCAGTGCATGGTGCAGGCGGCGGCGACAGTTTCGTTTGCGCAGGGCGACGTCTGAGGTTTCTGAAGGCAAGTGGCGATGTGCGGATCTACATCAAGTACGCGGGGACATGGAGCAAGCTAAGGCTTGGAGTCTACTGGAACGCGTCCTGGGCTGCGAGGCCGAATGGCGAGTCGCAGGGCGGCTACATGATCTTCGTGATAGAGGACGCCAGGATCGACGACGGCCAGCCAAAGCAGCTGGTGATCGCGGACTGGGTGAGGAAGAAGCTGGTGAGGATCTGTCGGACCTCTCTGGCAGGCGAAGCCCAGAGCGCAGCGAATGCAGTGGACGCGCCGGAATTTACGAAGACGATGCTCACGACAATGTTATTCCCCACGATGCAGCTGACAGGCACGGAAGATTGCATCACGGACTGCAAGGCGCTGTTTGACGCGGCGAACTCTCAGGCAGCAACTGGAAGGTTGATGGAGCGCTGGACCGGGATCGAGATCCTGCAGGTCAAGGAGAAGATGCGGGAGTTCGGAGGACTCTATTTGGACCAACACGCATCAGAAGATGGCGGATGATCTTACGAAGTTGCAGGTGCGGCAGCAGTTTGTGGAGAAGCTGCGGAGAATGACGCACGCACTCAAGTACGACGCAACGTTTACGGCGGGCAAGAAAATCAGTCAGAAAAAAACGAGCTCGAGCCGAGAAATTCGCCGGCCCAACGGGCCAGAGGCGTGCTAAGATCTCCGGTAACTGGTGAACAATACTTCTAGTTCGCGTGAGCGGAGCGGCCCCTGGGGGCCCCTGGACGAAAAGTACCCCCCCGGCAAGGTCCCGGGAGAAACCACCAGAGCACTCCAGGGGAGGGCCATTTTTCGACACCACTCACGAGGATCGTGGCCTCCTAGGGGGGAGCCGCAATCGACTACCCCCCCCCCCTCCCGCCCCAAGAGGCCCCCAAAAGCCCCCCAAGAGGCCCTGGGAGCCCCCAAGACGCCGCCAGGGAGCCCCACGAGACTCCCAAGAGGTCCCCAAGAGGCCCCCAAGAGGCCCTAAAGAGGGCTCCAGGGCCGGCGGAATGAGCGAAGCGATTAAATAACTGGGCAAAGCAGCTGCGGATTTCGACCAGGCGAACCAGGTCGAGGATGTACAGGCCGAGGACATCGACAAGCACGAGGACCAGCTGAGAGAACATGTCCGAGCGACAATCGGCGATACCCGTACGGCAAGAAGGATTCCACAGATCGTGGCGGCGGCCGCCACGAAGTGTGCCAAGGAAGAGAAGATCGACAAGGTCGAGCCGAAGTTTCCATGGGTGTTGGTTTCGTTGTTTGTTCTGTTGGTGGCGATTATGTTGTGCTGTGGATGTGCATTGGCAGCTACATGCTGGCTCAAGTACACGACGGAGCAGAAGCTGGTGGACAAGGTTCGTGTGCACCGAAATGCGCGCACGATGGCTGAGCAGAGAGCTCAGGCAGCGACGGCGGAGCCGAGAGTGAACGATGAGAGAGCGGCGGATGCCAAGAAGCTCAGGCGGACGGCCAGCACCCAGAGCCAGTGCACATACAGACGGGATTTGACCACGCCGAGGTTTCAGTTCCTCAGGGAGTTTGAACCTACGGCATCATTGAGTGCCGAGTTTGAGGCTTGAGCAAGAGATCATATTGAGGATGGAAGATTACCCCAGGTGAGATATGACGGCATGGATGCGAGCACGTTTCATGTTCTTTCGGGAGAAGGGCCAAAAGGCTTCCCCTGTTCCCCCTGTGTCAGTGGCACAGGATCCGTGCCAATATAGTTTCACACACCATGATGTGTATTGCAGTAGCGCAATGCAGTGCATGAGTTGTGGTGTTTTGATGTATGTGTGCTGACGCGCACGCGAGCTCGCACCGACGCCGCTATGGATCAAACACCGAGGGGGTGCTACCGACAACTCTGACGAGACCTGACAAGACTAGGTCAGAAAACGCTGCAGCAATTCGAAGTGCGATTCGGGCGATGACTGGTTGGCCGCACACTTCGCCCAGCGGTCGGCCTCTGCGTTTTCCGAAGCATGCCACCGCTTTTCGGTGTGTGGGAAAAATCGGGAAGCTCCTGCTGCGCTTTCACCTTATTGAGGGCAATGCCCCAGCTCCGGCCAGCACAACCTTTGTTTAGCGGCTTCAGGACCGAATACAAACTTTTATGGGACAGCCCTGGCGCATGCAGCTTGGACGTGCCAGCGTAACCAGCAGGCTTGAGGAGGCAAGAGGAAGGAAAAAAAACGAGGAGTGGAGGAGCGAACTACGAAGAGAAGGGATGGGGATGATGAAAGGTGGGAAATGAAAGGGAGGAGTAAAAGAGGGAGGATGACGAGGGAAATCACGAAAAAACAAAAAGGAAATAAAAGTGTGGAAGGAGAGGACGGGGAGGAGGAAGAGGCGGGAAAAGAAAAAACAAACAAGAGGGGGACAAAAAGGGAATCAAACAAATGACGTGGCCAAGAAAAGAATCAGGACGAGGAGGAGGACCAGGAGGATGACGCGGATACAAAATCGAGGGCAACAAAGGAGAAGGAGAAGGATCAAAAAGGAGGAGGAGGGAGAGAACGACGGGGCGTGTTAAAATGAGCACCGGGAAGAGAAGCGGAACGAATGGAACGATGGAGGAGGAATTGGAACATGAGGGAGGGAACAACAACACGCAAAAGGAGGAGGAGAACAAGGAGGAGCAGGAGTCCACACAGGGAGACAAACAAAAAAGCGAAGGGAGGGGGAAGATAGGGAAAGATGAGAGGGAGGGGAGGGGAGATGGGAGAAAGGTGGAGGGATGTCCGACTCTCTCCCCATCATTCTCCTGATCGTGTAACCAGACGTGTCAGTAAGGCGGGCTGGGCGATTCGTACGAGATTTCCCCACCGTTTACGATTTCGAAACGTGAAGATCCAAACTCACCAGCTGACTCACAAGTCGCACACCGAAAGGCGCGTAGACACAACTAGGACGTGCAATGCTGGCTCACGCTGGCCCTCCAGTGGGACTCACAGTGAACGATGTATCCGATCACAGCAATGTGTTCGACAATCTGACTAGCCCGTTCATTCCTCAGGCGTCCAAGTTTCTTAATAAACCCCTCTGTGGCCGACGTGCGTGGTCCACGGACGAACGTGCGCTTCTTCAGCTCATCCTTCTCCACCGCACGCACCGCTCGTCGATGTAATGGCAACTGTTGCTGGAGAAATTCGCATGACAGCGGCTATCGGCCTGCCTTCCCCAACGCATTTCTATTCGTAGCCCGCGAATGCACGATGCATATATTCGTACAGTCGCGTATACATCTGCAGTTAAAACCGTTGATCCTGCGAACGCTTGCTGCACGCAACGACGCAGAGTTCAACCCGAACAGGAGCCGGCTGACGACGACTGTGTCGAAACCTACCAATTTCCAGGACTGCAACACCCGGCTCCCAGTAGCAAGAAGCCGCCCGCAGACAACAATATATCCAGAAATCTGGTTTCCATCTGCTGGCGTGTCGCGCCCGACAGGCGCCGCGTCACGTCGTGAACAATAACCGCCATGAGCATTACAAGCAGAAGCGGTGATAAAGGGCACCCCTGGGAGATCCGGGACTTGTTCTTTTTCTAGAAACTCCAGCGCGGGACCTATCCCTGAAAATCACCTGGCAGAGTGGATGTGCTGCACCATTGACAAAAAAATCTGCGGCAGTCCAAACCCGGCAGTCCAAACCGCCCAAGAGCTGTGATCATAGCATATGAGATCGATCGAGTCGAAGGCATTCTCCCAATGCAAAGCTACACTTCCCACGCGACCATCTCGCCCCGCCAACGCTTGATCAATGCGTCGTCGCACAGCAAATGTCGCATCCTGCGTGCCACGGCCAGCTCGGAAGGGGAATTGCGTGGCCGTGAGCCTCCCCTCTGTCCCCGCAGCCTTCAGTCTTTTCAAGAGCACCGCGGCAAAAAACTTATAGAGCAATAGTTACCGCAGTCTTCCACGGACCCCTTCTCGAAAACAGATGCCACAAAAGCTACATGCCAGTCAGTGGGCGACTCTTCACCTAGCCAGCACGCATTGCACAGAACAGCTATCCACGACACGCAATCTTCTGTCTCTGCCACTACCCCGCCAAATCTCTCGCTGGATGTCGTCTGGTCCATGCGCTTTCCAATCTTGTAACTTCTGGGTTGCTTCTCCCGCCTCCGTCCCAGCCCAGAGGTCTGTGCACACCAGCAGCTCCTCGCCAAGGTGCAGCCCTTCGACAACACTAGCAGGCCGCAAGTGCCATTGCACTTTCTCCAAATGCTCCGCCATTGTGTCGGCCCAGCAGTCGCTGACCACGAGAATGCCATTGGTGTCTCTCACGGCTGGAGCGCGGGTCGTTTTCAAAATGGGGCTCTCGCCTTGGCGCCGCGCAAACTCATCTTTTGAAACATCTACACGGATCCAGGACGGGTCGTTTTCAAAACGGGGGCTCTCGCCTTGGCGCCGAGCACACTAAAGGCCTCCAACAGTCACACTGATGGAAGGCAAACCGTTTCAAGAATGAGACTCGCGTCTTGGCGACTCGCACAATTGTCGAACAAATAACCGCTGTTACACAGATGGAGTGCGGCTCTTTCCCAAAACGGGGCTCTCGCCTGGGACTTCCTCAAAGCCAGCACCACAAGTACAAACTTGTGCGCCAGTTACACGGATGGAGGGCTGTTCGCTTCAACTTGGAGCTCACGACTGGGACTCCGTTGGATGCCAAAGTCACGCATCTCACACTGCGCAAACACTACACGATTGGAGGGCGGCTCCTGCCTTAAACGAGGCTGTCGCTGGGTACCTCCTCGAACTCCACAACCCCACCTCGTGGCAGATGCTATTGCTCCACGATGTATGGCGGCTTCTTTCAAAACGGAGCTCCCGCCTTGAGTTGTGGACCCGTCGGGCGCTCATTTCCCAGACGGGGGGGGCTTCGTGCAGTGAAAAAGAAAGCTCGTAGAGACTAATGAGAAGGGAACCTGGAACGGGAGGGTGTGTTGCAGCCTCGTTGAGGCATAGTGGGTTTACGCCACACCGCCTGCTGCCCCTCATCCCCCCCTCCTCCGCATCCGACATCGACGACGACGACGATGACGACGATGACGGCGACGACAGAAAGGGACGTTCACTCCCAACCAAAATCTGCACAAAACCGCACCCCGGCGCCCCCGAGGTCCATCCTCACCGGCTTGCCACCCAGGGTCGACTTCGGACGGCCCCTGGGCCCGAGACGTGCCCCCAGAGGCCGAACTCGAGGAACAGATCTTGGGAACGACCTCCTCAATCCTCCTCCTCCTCCTCCTCCTCCTCCTCCTCCTCCTCCTCCTCCTCCTCCTCTCCTCCTCCTCCTCCTCCTCCTCCTCCTCCTCCTCCTCCTCCTCCTGGCACGCACGGAATGGGTACGCAGAAAATAGGTACGGCGCCCAACAACACATGCTGTTCAAAACCGACTGCGGCCACTGATGGGCAAGCGGCCAGCTTTCTCCAATTGACATCGCCCGCGGAGGCACCGACAGCGATTCGGAGGACCCCCGTGGCCGCGGCGGGGAGACGACACGGCTGAGGGCCCCGCCGCCGCCGCCCCGGCGCCGCCCGGCAGCGCGGCCAGCAGGCCCTGCGCCAGGGGCCCGAGCACGGGGAGCGCCACCTGGGCCCCCGCCTCCCCCCCCCGCCCCCCGGCCCCTTCTGACGAGGAGGAGTCGCGCGGACCAGATCCCGATCTGGTCCAACCCAGAAGGTGAATCAGTCTGAATGGGCCTACTTCGTCGAACTGGCGAGACCGCGACCTGATGCGCAACGAATCGAGGCTCACAGTGCTATGCCCCCTCCCGCCCCCGGGGGGGCTGGGGGGAGGGGCGCCCCGACGGAGGGGCAGGCCCGCCGGGGGGGCCGCCGAGGGCCGTCGAAGGGGGCCTGGCCTGCGGGGGGCCGCAGAGGGCCGCCGGGGGCCCACGTCGCCGAGAGGCCGCCGAGGGCCGTCGAAGTGCGGCGGCGGCGGCGTGGCGGGCCTGGGCGTCGAATGGCCGTGGGCGAGGCGGCAGCAGCGGTCCACGTCGCATCGACGAGTCGGATCGGAGCGGAGCGTGCGTCAGATCGGGCCACATCGGCACGGAGCCGGAATCGGATCGGATCGGCTGGGCCAGATCGTGGAACAGCGGCATGCAGGCATCGGACCGCATCGGATCGTCGGGAAGTCGGAATCGAATCGGGTCGGGCCGGCTGGAATCGACTCCGAATCGGATCTACCGCATCGAGATGGACCCTGGAAGATGGGGGCGGGGACCGCGCCCCCCTCGCGACGCGAAGGCATCACGACGGAAAGCTGTTCGCCCGTGTCGGCCTCCGCTCCGGGGCCCCGAGAAGGCCGTCGAGAAAGGCGTCGGGAAAAGTGGCGGGCAGGGCGTCGGATAGGGCGTCGGGTACGGTGTCGGGTAGGGCGTCGGGTACGTATGGCGTCGGGGAGGGCGCCGCGAAGGGCGCCGCGAAGGGCGCCGCGAAGGGCGTCGGATAAGGCGTGGGGCTAGGAGTCGGGCTGTTTGTCGTCACCCCACGCTTCCCGAAATCGTCGCAGGGTGAAGTTGGAGCAGCCCTCTGTCAAGACGACGGTGTTTCCAGGCAGGAGAGTGAAGCTTGACGACGTGCTGCAGTCCCCCAGTTTGAACTCGAAGGCCGCCCAGTCGTCGCAGTTGTTGTTGCCAGAACAGATGGAAATCTGGTGTGTCCAGAAACCGTTCGCGCATTGCGAGTTCAGGTAGGAGACGCACTTGTCTTGTAACAGATATACAGATTTCAGCGTGATCTGGTCATGGTGCCTGCACTGCTGGTGGTTTCAGCGCTCCAATGGTGCCAGTGCTGTCCGAACGTGACCATGTTGCCAACGGGCGAGAGGCAGGGGCGCACCGATGTCCTGTGCCGCCGCGAGGCATTCTTCCCTCTAGATGCAGGCCCACCTGCCAGCAGTCCAGTTGCGGTGCGAATGCCCCCAGTGAACGCCACGCGCGAGACAAGCAATGTGGCGAACGACGTGAGGACCATCTTTGAGAAAGTACCAAAGCCAGGTGTGGATCTCGAAGCGTGTTTGATGCAGATGTGCTGGGCCGTCGCCATTTCTGTCGTCCCTGTCGCCGCCGTCGCCGTCGTCGTCGCCGACGTCGACACGACCTTCTGGCATCCCCCATGCCTCCTCTCCACCACCAGTGAAGCACATTTGTTCTGGCAAGCTCCATTCTCTGTGAGTACCTGAAGTGAGCGACCCTGGGCGTGAGTGAGATTGCGTACGGCTGACGGAATACAACAGTGCCTGAATGTAATTGCGTCTCGGCATGACTCGGTCTCTCCTGGCTGATCCCTCTTGGGATGTCCAACCGACATACCTGCTACATCGGAGTGATCGTAGGCTCTGAAGCGTGAAGAGTCGGGAAAACCAAAACCAGCGTCCCGCCTGAGACATTCCCGCATGCAGGCCGCGAACGGGCCCGTGTAACACCCCCTGGCGGCTCCCCGTTCGGATGCCCAAGTGTCTTGCAAGCGAAACGGCAGTGAGCAGGAGGCTCTGAAAAGTGAAGAGTCGGAGGCGCCAAAACGGGCGTTTCGCCTGAGACGTCGCCACAATCTATCTGGGCGCGAACGGGCCCGTGTAAAATCCATGGCGGCTCCCCCTTGGGATGCCAGAATGCCATGCCTGCTACATCGCAATGATCATGGGGCCATCAAGAGAAGAGTCGGGGGAGCCAGAACCAGCGTTTCGCTTGAAACGTCCCCGCAAGCAGACTGCGAACGGGCCCGTGTAACGTACCTCGCGGCTCCCCCTTGGGATGCCCAAGTGCCTTGCCTGCTACATCGCGGCGATCGCACGGCTCTCATAGGAGAGGCGTCGCAGGAGCCCAAACCAGCGCGTCGCCTGAGACATCCCCGCAACACATGTGGGCGCGAACGGGCCGGTGTGACACTCGTGGCGGCTCTTGCAAGATCCCAAAGGTCGCAGCCTCTATCTCAAGGATTCCCCTGAAGGGGCAGTCCTAACCTGCGGCAGGCGCGGCTTTTCGGAAGGCCTGCGCACCCTTGTGGCCAGACACTTGTCAGGGGCAAGCTCCCTCTCATCACGCCGGCTCCACCTGCAGCTGCTGCAGCCAGGGCATCCACCCAGACCACCAGAGAGGGTCGGCCCAGGCGCTCTCTGAAATACTGCCTGCACCCTCGGGAGACGTGAGAGATGTCCCTCCCCATTGAGCCCGACACGGACATAGAGAAGATGAGGGAAGCAAGATTCTGGGACCATGGAGGAGGAGGGAAAAGTGAACTTCTGAATCCCTTTCCATGGACAACGCACGACGCGTCTGAGAAGGATGCTACAACCACGCGCGAGCTTCGCGCGCTTAGGCCCTGGCAAACACCCGCCCTCGACAACGACACAACTCGACATGCGCACGAAAATTCGCACGGATTGCGAATAAGTTGCGACGACGGACGTTTGGGGGCGGGATTTGGGGAAAAGTGGACCGCCCCCTGGGCCGGGGGGCCCGGTCGCGCGCGCGCGCTTCGCGCGCTTATGTTCTAGCAAAGGCAAAGCCAGCGTCACAACAATCAGCGGATGGGTACGCAGGCCATCCCACCACGTTATCACGTGGGAACACCTGCGCTATCGTGGGCATACGTATATGAATAGCGTCTTTCCGCATATTTCGGCCCATCCTTCACACGGAGCATGCCCGCAGGGAACTCCACCTACGGCCCCACATCCACCTACGGCCCCATTGCATAGCGGCACACGCCTCACGCGGATTGTGCTGCCCCGCAGATTACTGCACCTAATGGGAAGCTTCGCGTTGTGTCGCCCAACTCACGTCGGCACACCTCGCACATGGATTGCGCCTTGCAGGGAGTTCAACCTACGGGCCCAGAGACAAGGTTCGCATCCCGCCCCCCCTCCCGCCTAATCAGGCACACCCCTCACACTGATCGTGCCCCTTAGGGGCCTTCGCCGACGGCCCCAGAAAAAAAGGGTTTGCATAGCGCCTCCCCGCACGCCCATTGCGGCACGGCCCTCACGCGGAACGTGCCCCATAGGGGGCACCACACACAGCCCCAGAGACGAGGCTTGCAAATCGTCCCTCCGCCCATGCCGGCACACTGTTCATGCAAATCGTGCTCTGGAACGAGCTCCACCTGTGGCGCCAATGGGCAACTTCGCATGGCGTCCCCCCGCCCATTTTGTCACATGCCTCACACGGGTCGTGCCCCACAAGGAGCCCCACCTGCGGCCTCACTGGGCGGGCTCGCGCAAGGCACTTGGATTATTCGGCACCCCCTTCATGCGGATCGTGCCCCACACGGAAGTCAGCACGCCTGCGCAAGCTTGCTCCGCAGCAGCCCGCTATCAAATCAGTCCTACGTCAATAAGAGAGGGCCGCGCCCTGCGCTACACGTGACTGCATAGGGATTGGTCCGTTGCCAGGTCACTTGTTTGCTTATCTATGGCCTTCGGCCCATACCGTCAACATGCCTGAGTTTTGGGCCAGATGCTTCGTGGATACCTGTA